AGTGCAGTGGCCCGATCTCGGCTCACTGCAACTTCTGCCTCCCGGGTTCAAGGAATTCTCCCTGCCTCGGCTTCCTGAATAGCTGGGATTATGGCACCCACCAACATGCCCAGCTAATTTTTGTATTTTTAGTAGAGATGGGGTTTCACCATGTTGGCCAACTCCTGCCCTCAAGTGATTCACCCACCTCAGCCTCCCAAAGTGCTGGGATTACAGGTGTGAGCCGCCGCACCTGGCCTATTGTCTTTTTAATCCTTTCCTTCTAAAGTCTTGACTCTCCAAATGACATGTTGACACACAAATTGTAATGTGTCATAGAGGGAAGGTGGCCATCTGCTACCCCCCACCACCCTAACTGGGGAGAAAAAAGAAGGGTTCAGCATGGTCCTAGATGTGCAGACAACTGCTGAGACCCAGACAGAGGCATGGGGAGAGAGAGAACTGGCCTAAGAAAGACAGCCTGAGACGGGAAGGAGAGGTGCTGGGAGATGGTGAGGACCAGAGGGCACTCCTTCAGGACTGCAGAGGCAGACACCTGCCTGACAGGCAACCTTGAACCCATCGACTCCTGTAGCAGATACAGAGACCTATGTTCACGAACCAGTGGGCAAGGCACATTTGTTGAGACCCACATTCAAGTTGGAGAGGGAAAGGTGCTGAATGGGAAAGGGAGAAGAGATGGAGAGTGAAGAGGGGGCTAGATTAGAAGGAGGAAGTGGAGAGGAGGAGAGGGTGAGTCCCTGAAGGATGAAGAAGACAGAAACTTGAGTGGGAAAAGGGAGAAAAAGCTGAGTGGAGGAGGAGAGAGGAGATTAGAAAGAGGAATGAGAAAAGAAAAGAGACAGGATAGCATAGGGTGGGGGAGAAAGCGTGGGTGAGGATAGCAGATAAGTGTGGGAGTGGGGTAAGAGGAGGATTTGGACCAGCAAAAAGAGAAAGTAGTGGAGAAGATGAGGGTTATGGGGGGGGGCGGGCAACGTGGAGTGTGGAGGGTGGGGGAGGCTGTGTTGCTGGGTCCCATCAGCCTTAGGTCCCCAGCCCCTTCCCAATGCGTGCTAATTAACTCCTTAATTGTCTCTGCATTTGCTGAGCCGGCAGATGAAGTGGATGCAGACAGATTGGGGCTCGTGTGATTTCACGCACGGGGGAGCGGAGAAGAGCCGCCTGGAAATCCCAGGGGGCTTTGTTCCCCCTTTACCCTCCCTCTTCACCCATCTCTGAGAGGCTGGAGGGCGCTTCTGCACCTAGAGCAGATGCGGCCATCTGCAAGGGAAGCATCCATGGGGAATTTGCCCCCATCAGCCTTTCAGGGAGGATCATAATGCTTGCTACTATTGATGGAACACCCCCTACTGTTTGCTAGACACACATTGTTTCAACAGCATGGGCATTCGCTAGGTTTTATGGTTTCTGGAGAAAAGCAAGACTCAGACAAGCTAGGTTACTTGCCCAGGGCCACACAGCACTGCTGTGACAGAGCTGATGTTTGAATCCAGGGGAGTACAAGGCCAAAGTCCTATGTGGGTCCTGGCTAGATGCCTCCTGCCAGCAGAGGGAGGGAATATCTTGAGGCCCATTTCCCTCTCAGTCTGCAGCAGAGATAAAGGGTACTGAGGTGTAAGGACTGCAGGGACCAGAGAAAATGAAGCATGGAGAAGAAGCTAGGAGGATGCTGAAGGAGCCAGGATCCCCTGTCAGGTCCTGGACAAGGGCTGGGTGGGCCAGAGAAGCAGAAAGAAGTAATGCCACACTAACCACAGCCCGTGGCCTCCTCAAGTGTTACCTTACTGAGGCCCTGCCAACACCAACCTCTTTTCCTGATCCCTGCCCCACAAACCCCTGTCAGAGTGACCGCCCCCCTGCCTCTCTCTGCTGGCAGCCCTGGCTCGGCTCTCTATTTCACTCCTGGCTTTTGCACTAGAGTCACTGATCAATATGTTTGTCTCTCTTTTCACACCAGGTTATTTTGAGGGCAGGGACTCTGCCAGTCCTCACCATGTCCACAGGGCCAATCTTGGGGCTTGATCCAGGAAAAACATCAGTGAAGGTTTGCTGCAATGTACAGGGTAGGGATGAGGGGATATGTGTGTGCAAGGACCCATCACTTCTCAAATGAAGATGAAACAACAGCATGAGGAATTTCGGTTGTGTATAAGAAAGAACTTCCTAAGACTGGGACCTGTGACACTATAAAACCATGATTCAGACCCATAGTTTCCAAAGAGGTTGCTCAAGATTGGCTACATGTTAAAGGTCTCAAAAAGTTGGGCGGGGCGGGCACAGTGGCTCACGCCTGTAATCCCAGCACTTTGGGAGGCCGAGGCCAGGGGATCACCTGAGGTCGGGAGTTCAAGACCAGCCTGACCAACATGGAGAAACCCAGTCCCTACTAAAAATACAAAATTAGCCAAGTGTGGTGGCACATGTCTGTAATCCCAGCTGCTTGGCAGGCTGAGGCAGGAGAATTGCTTGAACCCGGGAAGTGGAGGTTGCGGTGAGCAGAGATCGCACCATGCACTCCAGCCTGGGCAACAAAAGTGAAACTCCGTCTAAAAAAAAAGTTGGGGCGATCTGGGCCCCACCCCCAGAGATTCTGATTTAATTGGTCTAAAGTGGAGCCATAGCATTGCAGTTTTGTTTTTTGTTTTTTGTTTTCTGAGACGGAGTCTTGCTTTGTTGCCCAGGCTGGAGTGCAGTGGCAGGGTCTCAAATCACAGCAACCTCTGCCTCCCAGGTTCAAGGGATTCCCCTGCCTCAGCCTCCCCAGTAGCAGAGATTGCAGGTGCACACCACCACGCTTGGCTAATTTTTGTTTTCTGTAGAGATGGAGTTTCATCACGTTGGCCAGGTTGGTTTCCTGACCTAAGTGATCCACCAGTCTCGGCCTCCCAAATTGCTGGGATGGCAGGCATGAGCCACTGCACTTGGCCAGCATTGCAGTTTTATCTTTATTTATTTATTTTTTTGAAACAGAGTCTTACTCTGTCGCCCAGCCTGTAGTGCAATGGCACAATCTCTGCTCACCGAAATCTCCACCTCCTGGGTTCAAGTGATTCTCCTACCTCAGCCTCCCGAGTATCTGGGATTATAGGCGCCTGCCACCACGCCCAGCTAAGTTTTGTATTTTTAGTAGAGACAGGGGTTTCACCATGTTAGCCAGGCTGATCTCGAACTCGTGACCTCAGGTAATCCACCTGCCTTGGCCTCCCAAAGTGCTGGGATTACAGGAGTGAGCCACCTTGCCCAGCTGGCACTGCAGTTTTAAAAGCTCCCCAGGTGATTCAAATGTGCAGCTTGGGTTAAGAACCAATGCCTTAGATTCTGCCCTGATTTGGCTGCACTGATGGTTTTACCACTGGAGCCAAATGCTAATGCTAATAATAGTTATTGACTTATTGCGGATTTACTAGGTATATGCCAATGTCTTAAGCCCTTTCCATGCATTAGCTCAAGTAATTCTAAAAAAAACTCCTGTGAAATACATACTATGTCTGCCTTACAGATGAGGAAACCGAGGCCCAGAGAGGTCAAGGGACCTGCCCATGCTAATGAATGGCAGGGCTGGGTGTGGAAGCTGATTCACCTGATTCATACCTTCTGTCTTCCCCCTTCCCTTAGGCTTCTCCTAAGGTTGCTCGTTGGCCTCAATTAGTCCTCGCCTGCCTCCACCTCACCTCATCACCTTCTCTCCACCCCCGCTGCTCCCTCAGTAACATCCCAGGTGACTGAAGCAATTTGCAGCCATTTGAAGAGGCTCCATGTGTCAGTCAGCCTGCAAGCGTGGGGAGGTGGGGGAATTACAGATGCTCCAAGATAGTGTTCCCCTCCCCCTGAGGATATTTGGAGTTCAGGAATCAGACTCTGCCCGATGCTTCCTCAGGTCTCTGAGACCCTCCCAGGTGATTTCCCACTCCCAAATGCCCCCATGAGTTGATTCTAAGTATCTGGGAGAGTGCTGCCACCCAGTGGCTGCCCGGGGACATGGCAACTCTCCAGTACTGCCTGGTACTGCTGAACAGCTCCCCAACCCAAGACCTGAATGGAAGATCCTTCCTTCCTTTAGGCAGCTAGGTGTCCAGTCCCCTAGTAAACGGATCTCGCCTTCCCTCCTCCATAGTCCTAAGTCCACTCTCCCACTAGGGATCTCCAGATCCCTCCTCTGGTTTCCTACATGCCCGCTACCCACAACGCCCGCAATGCCTCACAACTTCTCATCCAACTTCTTTCCAATGTGCCATCCTCTTCTCATTGCGGGTTCTTTCTTCCAACTTAAAGCCTGGCACCATGTCCTAGGAATACATCTCTCAGCATCCTTCTCCCAGAGCCGCACCAGCCTGCAAGTAGAGCGAAGAAGCCACTAGAGACAGCATTCTGGTCCCCCGCACCCTCCTCCTCATCATCTGACACCATCAGACCTCAACAGCCTCTGTGCTAAGAGCCCCTAATGAGCATCAGCAAATTAACAACTTCCCCTTGATTGCTCCTTCTCTGTTAATTGGATAGGGAAGGCCCCCCCCCCCAAGGCCTCTCAGAGAGGAGGAGGAAGGCAGGGAAGGAGAAAGGTGAGAGCCACAGGAGCAGCCCTCAGGCCTGTGTTCTGTGCTCAGACTTCTGCTCCATCCCTGAGCATAGCTCCCGGTTCCAACCCTTCCTTACCCTGTCCCCCTCACTCCCTTTCCCCGCTTCCTTCTGTCCAAATTCTCTTGACCTCTGGCTGTTTTTCCTTCCTTTTCTCTGCTCCTTCTTTTAAGATTTGGCAGTAAGTGGTTGCGACCATGCCCCTCACAAGCCCAAAGCTACAAGGATGCGGTCTGAGTGGTCAAGGATGTGTGTTGGCTCACATATGTGCACGTGTGCGTGTGTCACATGTAGGTAGGGAGCAGGGATAAGAGCAGGTGAGTGCTTGCCATGTGGGTCAGGCCCCGGGGTTTTTTGGGCATCTGTGGGGGTGTGTGTGTGTGGCTGCGAGTGGTGTGGTGTGACTCTGGTCGGTATGTGTGTCTCTCTCCATATGGGCCAAGTGCTTGAATTAGTCAAGTGTGACTCGGAGCGCGTGTGTCTGTGTACGCGCGTGTGTGCCACCAGAGGAAGCAGCAGCAAGAGGCAGGAGCATCGATCCGAAGGAGACAGCGCGGGGAGGGGGACGCTAGGGACAGACACCCTCCCTCCTGCGCGCACACGCGCGCGCGCGCACACACACCACACACAGAGGCACACACACAAGCCGTAAGGCCTCGCAGGCAGGGAGACGGCTCCGGGACCGGAGAGAGGCAGCGCCGCCGAGAGCGGCCGCGCAGAGGGGCGAGTCGGCGCAGGGAGCCCTGGGTCCCGCTCTCTGGTCCGGGGCCCCACGCGCACACCGGCCCGGAGACAGCCTCGCAGACACTCGTAGACGCGCACGCGCACCCTCTCCCCTCCCCCTCCCCTCCCGCCTCCTCCCGGCCGGACGATGGATCCCTGCAGATCCCAGGGCTGAGAGCACAGCGCACCGCGCCGAGCCCGGGCGGACCAAGCCGAGGCGAGCGAGCGAGCGAGCCAGCGCGCGCAGGCGGACTGACAGATCCGAGCCGAGCCGGGCCGGGCGGGCCGCTCCCTGCAGGGCTCTCCGCGGCGTGCCGCGGCGGCCGCGGGCTCCGGCCCCGGGCCATGAGCCCCTCCGCGACTCGGCGCTGAGCCCGTGATTGGCCTCGCGCCCCAGGACCCGCCACCGGCTGCCGGCTTCCTGAAGCCCCCTCAGGTGGGTTTCCGATACCCCCGCCTTTGGCCGCAGGGCTCCTTGGCACCCCGAAGCCGGGGCTCTCCTCCCTCTGGATTTCCCCCGCTGCTGGGGCGGCTCGGTGGCTGGGGAGGGGGGCGGGGGCCGAGTAGGGTGTCTGACTGCGACGAGAAGCTGGACTGGGGTGGGGGGTGCGTCCGGGGCGGGGACAGCTCGCTGTCATAGGGAACCGCGCCCCCCCCCCAAACATCCACCTCGGGCAGCCAGCCACCCCCCACTCCCAACATACACACACACAGCCTGCGCCTGTAAGAGAACTGGAGATACACGCAGGTGAGGACTCAGGCTGGGCCCCTCCCTAGAGGTAGCCACCTCCCTGGGGGTTTTCTGATCCGGGGACCACAGCCCAGTTCTGGGAATACCAGTGACCGGGAAAGGAGCTCCTTACCCTGGGATCAGCCCATCTGGGCGAGTTTTCATCTCCAGGATGGGGTGGACATTCTTGTCCCAGAGTGACCCCACATCTGGAGGGAACTCCTGCGCCTGCCTGCGGGAGCATCAGGACTTCCCCCTGAACCTCAGATGACTGTATCTGGGGTCTCCCTGAACCTGGGAAGCTTTCCTGGGAGAGCATTCTCTTGGCCTGACCTGACCCCCTGTGCCTCTGTATTTGGAGGAACCTTGAAAATGCCCCTTGGTCAGCCACCTCTTGGCTTGTACAGCAGGGAAGTCTTCTGCCCGAGGAGTAGTGACCTCTGGAGATGGGGATTCTGGATGGACACATGTGGAGGGGCCCCATGTGGACTTTCATCCTAGGACAATGACAGACTGTCCCTCTCTCCTTCCCCAGGATCCCCTGGACAAGGATGGAACTGAAGGCCGAGGAGGAGGAGGTGGGTGGCGTCCAGCCGGTGAGCATCCAGGCCTTCGCCAGCAGCTCCACGCTGCACGGCCTGGCCCACATCTTCTCCTACGAGCGGCTGTCTCTGAAGCGGGCACTGTGGGCCCTGTGCTTCCTGGGCTCGCTGGCTGTGCTGCTGTGTGTGTGCACGGAGCGTGTGCAGTACTACTTCCACTACCACCACGTCACCAAGCTCGACGAGGTGGCTGCCTCTCAGCTCACCTTCCCTGCTGTCACGCTGTGCAACCTCAACGAGTTCCGCTTTAGCCAAGTCTCTAAGAATGACCTGTATCATGCCGGGGAGCTGCTGGCTCTGCTCAACAACAGGTGGGTGGCTCCCCCCGCCGAGCCCCACTCCCAAGCTGTGTGAGTTCCAGTCAGGGTGTCTGCCTCCCTAACCCACCATACAGCCTAGCCAACCCTGCCCTTTAACCCACCACCACCCCCAAACCTGCCACTCACAGCAGAGGAGTTGAAGCGCTGCTGAGCACCTAATTAAGGGAACCCAGCCTCTGATCCCGGCAGAGTCCAAAACAGCTTGGCGCCTCCCCAGCCTGAGGTGTGAGACATTGTCACCCTCTCTGGAAGGAGTTTTACCCTCGTTCTGGCCACTCTGTCTTGACCTTCTCATCAGTTGGGGGATGGGGACAGACCATCTCTAAAGGGTGGAGACTACAGTATAAAAGCCACAGCCCCTGCCTTATCTCTCTGCCTACCTTATCCATGCTTCCTCTCACCCATGTGCTGGCATGCCCTGCCCCGGGGCCGCCACTACAGATCCTTCTGTTGTTTCAGACCCATGTGGTAGATCCTCTGCATGCCCAGCTCTTCTTCCTTGCCTACACCTGGGCCTGATCCCCAGGGCTGTGGGCTGCTCACCCAAGTTGGGATTGGGACACTGATGGCTGTACTGACCCATGTGTCACTCACCCCTGGGCCCCAGGTATGAGATACCAGACACACAGATGGCAGATGAAAAGCAGCTGGAGATATTGCAGGACAAAGCCAACTTCCGCAGCTTCAAACCCAAACCCTTCAACATGCGTGAGTTCTACGACCGAGCTGGACACGACATTCGAGACATGCTGCTCTCCTGCCACTTCCGGGGGGAGGTCTGTAGCGCTGAAGACTTCAAGGTGGTAAGTCTCCTGGTGTGGGGTGTGAGTCAGGCTGGCTCACAGAAGAGGAGGAGGAGGAGGAGGGGGAGGAGGAGGAGGAGAAGAAGGAAACAAGGAGCAGGCTGGGCCTCTCTGGATGCCTGCTACTCTGGGAGAGGAAGTTATGTGTTCTGGGGCTTGCTTCTAGTAGAAGGGGACTTTGTTTAGCATAGGGGCACATTTGCACTCATGAGCCTCAGCCTTGCATCCATGATGGCAGGAGAGAGCTTACCGTGTACAACACACACATATATGCACACACGCGTGGCCTGGCATAGCCACAAACCCAGCAAGCTTACCTCCTGGGCCACAGGTGTCAGAGCTGAGCAGGGAGGTGGGTAAGCCTTGTTACTTGAAGTGAGCTCCAGGACTATCAATTGGGAGCTTGAAAGGAATGCAGGACTTTGCCACCCTACTTCCCAGACCTACTGAACCAGAATCTGCATCTAATAAGATCCTCAGATGACTGGAATGTACACTAAAGTTTGAGAAGCACCGTGAAGCACAAGGGAAACCTCTTAAATAGCTGGACAGTAACTCCCTCCGTACCATCTGCACCCCATGCATATACACATATGCTGTTTGGTTAGGTTCCCTGCTTGCCAGCAAGAGCCATAGAGCCAGGGTCTGGGGAAAGGAAGGCCATCGGGATACCCAGTCGTGGCTGCCCTGGAGGCTTCCTTTGCATCTTAAAATGGAGATGCCCCACGAACACATCACACCCCACAGATGTGGTTACCTCAGGCCAGCACCTCAGGGAGGGTGTAGGGAAACCGATTTTGGCATCTGATGTGCTGGGCAACCCTGGGCCAGTCACACAAATTCCTGAGGGTTACACTCTGGACCGGATGGCAAAGAGACCACAGGCCCTGGAGCCATGTAGAAACAATACCACCAAGTGAGTGGACAGGGCTTGCAACTCTTTCAAATGCTTTCTAAGATCCCCTCAATCCCCTTGATGCATAATTGCATTACCTCTATTTTACAAATGCATGAACTGAGACATAGGGAGGCAGAATGATTTACCCAAGCTCACACAGTTAGTGACAGATGACAGGTTCAGGATCAGAACTCATGTCTCTTTAAGCTGAAAATGTCCTTTACTCTCCATTAATATTGTGGACCTGGGAGCTATTTTGTCCACTTCAAATTCTGGCCAGTCTTTTCTAGGACCCTTTGTTCTCCATGCCTAGTCCGCTGTCAGATCCTTTCCCTTTTCCTGCCCATTTTCTCCCCGCTTGCTTCCTTCCTCCTGCAGTATGGGAACATGAACTGTATTTGTGCAGAAAGGACGATGCCATGGTCATGCTTAGTGTTTCCTGCTGAGGTTACACATGACTTCCCAATCTCTTTAAGCCTTGCTCTGCAGACCAGTTTCATGGGCCTTTGTCAATCCTGCTGGACAAAGTTTACATGACCAAATTCTTTGCTGAGCCAAGCTGATGGGGAGCTTAGCTGAGACGCAAGAACCACTTCCTTCCCTCTTTTCCTCCTTCATAACAGGAGGGTCTTGGATTCCCCAGAGCTTGAGACCAGAGGGTTCCCAGTCTCACAAATGATCCTCCCAAGAGTAATAGGACTGTAGGTGAAGGTGGAAGCAAAAGCCAGAGCCCCTCCCTCCAACACACCCAACACACATGCAGGAGAGACCCCTGAGAAAGATGGAGAAAACCTATTAATTTGAATGGTTTGTAGTGTTGGGTGAGGGAGGGAACTGCTTGGCTCAACTTGAGGAGGTGCTGAGATATAAATCTGGGCACAGTTAGTCTAGAAAAATTGTTCAGTTGAGGCTCCATCTGTCTATCATGTCCAGAAAGATTCCAAGTGGTGATGCTAAGATAACGTTTGGCTGATGGCAATGGAGATGCTGAGATGTGATTGGTCCATGCTGAGTGGACCATTTTAAGGAGTCAGATAGAGATGTGATTGGCCCACAAAGTTCTGGAGCAGTCTGAGTTGTTCCTCTTACTGTAGGGGAGAGACACACAGGCTAGCACCCTGCAGCCCCATCTGTGCCCCTTCTTGCTTCTGGGTTGTCAGGGAAGACCAGGTTTTTGCTGTTTTGCAGCCCATGTCAAAGAACTGACCCTGAATTTTGCTGGACACAAACCTCTCACCCCTCCCTCTCTCCAGTTGATTACATTGCCAGCCCCTCTCCATGTCAAGAGCTCTACCCATAGGGATGTTCCCACACAGATGGGCGTCTGGCTGGAGTCCACGTCTGACACCTCCCCAGTGGAGAAGGGCCTGGCAGGCTTTCTCCTCCAGCTCCCCCATCCTAAGGGCTCCCACACTCCTTGCCTGATGCTCCACCCTCTCGCTTCTCTCATAATTAACATCCTTGCCATTCTCTGCTAGGCCCAGAGGTGTGTTGGGAGTGTGTGTCTAGCCTTGGGAAGATGTAGCACTGATAGAAAACACCTGTCTATAGGGTCAGGGTCTAGGGGAGACCCTATTGACATCTTCTGCAGCCTTCAGAGCAGAGGTACTTCACTGAGGAAAAGAGGTGGTCAGAGAAGAGAGGCCTCGTGGTTGGGGCTTTGGTTGCTCTTTCAGTAGCTAGGAAAGAAGCTGCTGGAGATCAACAAGATTGCTGTGGGGATGCCTCACCCTGCACTGTCCAAGACCTTGATCAGTGCATTTGCAAAATATAGTGTGCAGGAGCACGTGTGGACTGTTTTGTGGATTTTTTTTTTTTTTTAAGGTGGAGTCTCACTCTGTCGCCAGGCTGGTGCTATCTCAGCTCATGGTAACCCCTGCCTCCCGGGTTCAAGTGATTCTCCTGCCTCAGCCTCCTGAGTACCTGGGATTACAGGTCCCCACCGCCACACCTGGCTAATTTTTGTATTTTTAGTAGAGACGGGGTTTCACCATGTTGACCAGGCTGGTCTCCATCTCCTGACCTCATGATCTGCCTGTCTCGGCCTCCCAAAGTGCTGGGATTCAAGTGTGAGCCACCACACCCAGCCCCTTCTTTTGTGGATTTCTAAGGGCAACCCTCATCTCAACAATAAGAACCCTGTTTCTCAAGGCTGCTTGGGGGAGGCATAAGAGGACAATTCAGGGAGGCTACTCTGGTCACTCGAAGACCCCTGCTCCCCTGACAAGAATCTGCAGTAACAGGCATTTCTCCAGATGTGCTTCTGGATCCAGCTCAACCCCAGGGAGTGCTTGGTGGTCACAGAGCATTTGGCCAGGGTCCATCCCCCAGGTGTGGCTGAGTCAGCTTGGAGGGTGGAAGTGAATACGGGGAGCCTAGATGAATCTGGGAGAGACTAGTTTGGCAATCCTTCAGGACAGAAGAGGCAGAAGGGCAGGGCAGGGAGTATCCCCACAGCAACCTGGCTGAGAAGGTCTCAGTAGCCCCCTCCTGAGCTACCGTAATGGCCCAACCACAAGGCCCCCTCTTCCCAGCCACCTCCTTTCCTCCCTGGTAGGGTGCTTTGTTGCCAAGGCAACGGGGTCTGCGGTTTCTCTCTCCTGCCCCACCTTGAGGCTAGCCAGGCCAAGGCAGGGCCGGGGTTCCATGGAGGGGGGCTGGGGTGCAGCTGTCTGCTGGTGTCTGGGAGGGGGCCAGGGGAGTGAGCATAGTCGCAGCTGGTGCCAGCCTCCAGCTGCACCTTATCTGTCCCTGGCAGTGGGAGCAGCTGATGTGGCTGGAATGCTGAGCAGCAGCACGGGGAGGGGGCTGGCAGATGGTCGCCCAGTCTGCCCTATGCCACCTCCTCCTTGAGACCCAGACCCTTTGCCTAGGGGAGAGAGAAGCAGGAATTCATTTCTGGGCCCTGGAAGAGAAGAAAGAAGAGGGCAGACAGTGGAAATGCTGGGGTGGGTGTGTGGTGTGGATCATAATCTCAGGAGGGTGCGATGGGGGGACAGGAATCCCCGGGGGGGTCCACAGGAGTCCTTCTCAGGACCCTGGATTGGAGACCGGAATCTCCCAGGGAAGAGGTGGAGTGAAGGAGGTGAGCACAGAAGCCTCCCCTGCAACCCGCAGCAAGATTCCGAAGGGGGCCAGGCATTCCAGGAGCACCTAGGGAAGTAAGATGCCGCAACCAGAGGTGGCTGAGGGCGCCTGATCCTGGGACCCAGAGAGGGGAGAAAGAGGTCATCTTAAAGCAGGAGAGCCAGGGATGACTGCACTCAGCAAGAGCCAGGACTAGCATGGAGCTTCTTCATCCCCAGGGCTCACCCCTCATTCCCACACCCCATTGCCGCCTCATAGAAGCTCAGACCAGAAGTACTTTGGGAGGGCCTGACCTTACTACCAGGGTCTGTGCCCTCCAGCTAGGCAGGGAGTGGAGGGGCTGCTGAGGTGAAAGGCTGCCCAGACTGCTGTGCAGAGAGGGAAAGGGAGGTCTGGGGCAGCCCCACCCAGAGGCCTGATGGTCTTCATGGGTGGGAAGAGGGAACACACACAGATTGCAGAGGGATAGAAGAGGCTGACCTGGAGACGTGAGCTTTGGAGGAGGGGTTCATGGGAATCATGAACTTTGGGGGAAGGGTTCCCGCCCTAGGGGTTCATGGCTACCGCCTCCTGCCTTATTCTTCTCATCTGTCCTTCCCTCCCAGGAAGTGTCTAAACTGAACACAGGTGGGTGGAGAGAGGAGACAGGAGCAGACCCCATTGTAGTTGCAGGAACCCAGTGGGTGGGCCCTGGATTGGGGTCTCAGATGGCTCCTGTTCCTTCTCCCTCAGAAACGGATACACACAAACATACTTTGGGTAACCCCGTTTCTTCTCTCACCTGTTCCTCTTCTCCCCAGACCCCAGCCATTTCTGATTCCACCGCTCTCTCAGACTGCTATCAGCTAAGAGCTACTCTAAGCCAATTGATCTCTGGGCTGTTGGCTAAAGTAATAGGGAATTGAGTAACGAAGTGCCTCTGGGGGCCAAGCCTGGAAGTGGAGGGCTGAGGAGGAGGAACGCCTCTAAGCCTTGGACCTTTGTCACTGCCCAACTGGTGGAGAACTCCTAGCTA